ATGCCAGATGGGGACGAGTGCTTGAGTCGCCAGGTGAGGATCCGTATTTAAATGCTAGATTTGCGGAAAACATGGTTAACGGCCTACAAGAAAATTTAAAAAATAAAAAAGGCCAGGCTGCTTGCGTTAAGCACTATGCTGCTTATGGTGCAGTTGAAGGTGGTAAAGAATATAACTCAGTAGATATGTCGATAAGCAATCTGTTTCAGAACTATTTACCACCTTATAAAGCGGCTGTTGCTGCTGGCAGCGAAATGGTGATGACATCTTTAACAACACTTAACGGTGTGCCAGCCACTGCTAGTAAAGCACTTTTATCTACAATTTTGCGCCAAAAATGGGGCTTTGATGGTGTAATTATTTCAGATTATGCTTCGATTTTTGAACTGATTAAGCACGGATTTGCAGCAAATGAGATTCAGGCTAGTGAAGAAGCTTTCAACGCTAGCGTTGATATTGATATGAAATCGCCATGTTATGCTAATGGCTTACAGCCCTTAGTTACTAACGGCCAACTTGATGAAGAAAAAATCGATCAGGCTGTTTTACGTGTTCTTAATTTGAAAAATCGGTTGGGCCTTTTTGAAGATCCATTCTACGGTGCGAGTCCTGAGCGTGAGGCTAAAAGCATTCTAACCTCTTCGAAAAGACAACTTGCGCGAAAATTAAGTCAAGAATCACTGGTTTTATTGCAAAATGATAACCATGTCTTGCCCCTAAATAAAGAGCAAAAAGTTGTGCTAATTGGTCCATATGCTAGTCGTAAGACCCTAATTGGCATGTGGGCGATTCACGGCAATCCGCAAGATACAATTACTATTGCTGATGGAATGAAGAGATTTATTCCTGATTTGAAAGTATATCAAGGGACAGACCTGCAGAGAAGTAAAAAACTATTGAAGAATCTTGGCTTTCTTAATGAAAAAGAAATTGCTGAAGCTATTTCAACGCCGAAGCAGGAACAAAAAATAATCAAGAAGCACTTGAAGCTGCTAAAAAGGCTGACACAGTGGTATTAGCTTTAGGCGAAGAAACTTATGAGGATGGAGAAGCAGGTTCTAAAACAGACTTGCGCTTACCGAAAAATCAACGTCAATTAATTGATCAATTGGCTAATTTAGGCAAGAAGATTATTTTGGTTTTAATAAATGGTAGACCGCTAGTCTTAAATGATATTAAAGATAAAGTTGATGCAATAATTGAGGCTTGGTTCCCAGGAACAGAGGGGGGAAATGCGATTGCCGATGTACTTTTTGGGGAATGCAATCCTTCTGGCAGGCTGACAATGGAATTTCCTTATTCTAGTGCTGAAGAGCCGTTATATTACAATCATTTATCAACTGGTAGGCCAGAAAGCAATTCACAGCATAAAGGCAGATTTGTTTCTAAGTATTTAGATTGTCCGTCAGGTGCATTGTATCCATTTGGCTATGGTTTGTCTTATTGCGATGTGGACTACAGTAGTCTGCAATTAAGTGCAAACGAATTACATCTGATCAGGATATCAAGGTTTCAATTAACGTGACTAATACTGGAAAATGTTCAACAACTGAAACGGTGCAGCTATATTTTAGAGATGAGGTAGCACCTGTTGCTCAGCCAGTAAAGCGATTAATTAATTTTCAAAAAGTCCAATTAAAACCAATGGAAAATAAGCGTATAGAATTTGTACTTTCGCTCAGTGAATTAAGCTTTTTTGATAATATTGGAAATGAAAAAATAGAACCAGGATTTTTCACAATTATGGTGGGACCCAACTCTCGGGATGTTTCTTCTGCTAGATTGTATTTTGCTGGTTAAACACAAATGACAATTTTTTACATGTTTTTAGCGTGAAACATGTATAGGATTAAGCTTATCAAGCGCTTACAATTATCGTGCAAAGTAAAAATTGTACTTAAGGAGGAGAGAATGATGGCTTCAAAAGAGAACCAAAAAATTGCCAAACAAGTCTTTGACGCGATTGGTGGCAAAAATAATATTGTGTCAACTGCTCATTGTGCTACGAGGCTAAGGCTAGTCGTTCATGACCGAACAAAAGTTGATGAAAAGAAGTTAGATCAAATCGATAAAGCTAAAGGACATTTTTTTACGTCTGGGCAGTATCAAATCATTTTTGGAACGGGACTCGTTAATGACGTCTATGAGGCAGTTAAAGAAGCAGGCGCAGCAACGACAAGTAGCGCAGATTTAAATGAT